TGAGTAGAGATGGAGTAGAGTCCGATGTAAAATTTGAAGTTCTGTAAATTTTTGTTAATCCAAATCATTCAAAATGTTTTACAACCGGAGTAAAAGTCTGCTTTGTTGTTAGGGTTTGGTCTAATATTTTTTTATATATTTAATAGTTTTTTAAAATTTTAAAAAAAAGATTAATTAGTATAAAAATTACTAATTCTCAGAAATCGGCACCCAATTACCTAGACCCTCGAGTCATATTTAATATCGGGGGATTTCATTTTATTCTATGATTTTATTTACCATTTTTTTAGTAGGGTTTTTTACTTTGTTTAGCTTAATAAAAAGTGTACTATACGCCACTTCGACCGGCATCGAATCTACATAAACCAGTTAGAACGGTTTGGTAGCTGGTTTAAGCTACGAAATTATTTATATATTTATTTTATATTATATTGTATTTACATATAGAATAAAAAATTATTTATATATTAATTTTATACCATAGTTAATTGGTAAGTTTTCAAATGTTATATAACAATTATTCATATATTAATCTATATGGTGTTTGTTGTGTTTTTGTAATTAATATTTACAAAATTTACTAGGGATTGTATAATTTACTTGTATATTAATTAACAACAAATTAAATAATTAATATATGTAAAAAGGGAAAAACACTATCAGTTGTTTTCTAAGAAAATTTTATCTTGCTAATTGCTTAGTTACTTTTAACTTCTCTGCTTAAATTTTTTTGCTAAATATTTTCTTTGACGGCAAGACAATGGCTGTTGATTATTTTCTTGTTAAATTTGATTAATTTCTTTGCTTGGTTTATCTGCAATGCACTGCAGTACATGTAATCATTTATTTTTATTTATTTGGTATCTACTTTAATTTAAATTACTTAATTGCTTAATCCTATTCAATACAAATTATCCATTTTATAAAATCAATGAATAATTTTACACTTACTTCCTAATTACCCTTATCATTAATTATAGTAATTTTCCTATTACATTTTTCAAGACATTGTCTTTATTAGTATATACAAAGGATGATATAGTCAAATTACTCTTCTATTTATAGTTTCTTAAAAAGTGTGCAAAGTCAATAATGGATAAGTATTGTTGGACAAAGGGAGTATTTTTTCAAATCATTTTCAAGATATCATTTAATAGGGGATAGTTTGGAAAAATATCTATATAAATAATTATTTTCTTAATGTGTGTGTCAAGTCAAAATGTGATTAATTATAGTAATTTCTCTATTACATTTACTATAATTGTTTTACACTTACTTTCTAATTACCCTTATCATTAATTATAGTAATTTCTCTATTACATTTTTCAAGACATTGTCTTTATTACTCCCTCCGTCCACAATTGTTTGGCAGGTATACTAAAAATAGATGTCCAAGATTAATTGTCAATTTAAACAATCAAGAAATAATTAGTCACTTTTTTCCAATTCTGCCCTTAATGATTGTGTAGTTCAATTGAAAAGTTATGTGGACATTTGGTATTCTTGATATAGTAGGGTTATATTAGTCAAATTACACCTTGTATTAAATTTTCCTTAAGGGATGTGCATGACCTTACCTTGACAAACAATTGTGGACGGAGGGAGTAGTATATACAAAGGATGATATAGTAAAATTACTCTTCTATTTATAGTTTTTTAAGAAGTGTGCAAAGTCAATAGTGGATAAATATTGTTGGACAAAGGGAGTATTTTTCAAATCATTTTCAAGATATCATTTAATAGGGGATAGTTTGGTAAAATATCTATATAAACAATTAATTTCTTAATGTGTATGTCAAGTCAAAATATGACAAGTGAAAGTGAACGGAGGGAGTATTATTTATTTTTCGATGTTTAAATTACTTATATCTAATAAGGGTGATTTGGTAAAATTACCCCTATCATTTAGTGTTTCTTAATTTATGTGTTAAGTTAATAATAGACATTTATTATTGAACAAAGGAAGTAAAAGTTAGTTGGTTATATAACTAAATCATTCGTAACTAGTAACTCTAACCAACTATCAAATGAGCTCTATTCCTGCCCAAATTTCAAAATTAAAAAATCACCTTCATTCATACCAACCATTACTCTGACCTTTACTCTCCTTCAGTTTGCTTTTTCGCTCCAAAAAAATCTATGCATTAAGTGATACATACACAGACACAGGCAGAAAAAATCTATGCATTAGCAAAAACTTGCAAGTAATAATAAATAGAAATAGGAAGGTAACTTCCCTATTTGACCGATTCAAGTCCCAAATCCTAGTACCATGGTATGAACGCTTGACTAAAATGGAGAAAGAAATGAGTGGTATATACCTATTTGCCAAGTCGTTTTAAATGGACTATTAGTATTTTGAGACGGATCATAATATCACACAAGTTAGGAAGAGGATCGAAAATCAAAAATGAATTTGATACTAATTTGCTTGTTTGTTCTCTCAAACATCCCTGTGTGCATCAAACCTGAAGAGATCACTTACATATATGGTAAGCTATTGTCCAAATACAACTAGTGATTATGCACAAGGAAGCAAATTTTAGTTCAATCTTAACCGATTGTTGTACAGATTATTGTACAATAATGCTAACAATTCCATCTATGCAAATCCCAGTGTAGGTGATAAAGTTCATGGATTGTATCTCTGTAGAGGAGATGTTGCGCCTAAAGACTGCCAAAACTGTATAGACATGGCAAGTGAGCGGATCCAGCGTGAATGTCCGCTCAAAAAACAGGCAATTATATGGTATGACCAGTGTTTGGTCCGCTATTCTGATAGACCTAATTTCGCCTCCACGTTTAATGTCTCGTCTTATTATTGGATCGTTTACAACTCAGATCAAAGCTTTTCATGGACGACACAAGTTAAAGGGATTTCAGATGCAATGTTTGATAATCTTACCCCTAAAGTTACAAATAATCTGAAATATGCTGAAAGTTTTGATGAAATTACACCATTGTCGTTCTCTCAAAAGTTGTATGGCATGTTGCAGTGTATACCAGATTTGTCAGCTGAAGATTGTCGCGCTTGCCTGAAGGGAGCTGCCATTTAAGCTATTAATTCAAAAATCCTGACGAAGGGAGAACGGGAGCACCACCACCGCCATCACCCACACCGGGGGCAAAGACGAAGGGAGAACGGGAGCACCACCACCGCCATCAACCACACCGGGGGACAAAGACCAAGGTAATTATTCAAAATATATATATAATTAACTGATTAGAGGTGGTTATTGAGTTAGTTAGAGAGATAATCATCGATCTAGCACTATATAATTGAAAAGGAAGATATCTTCCCAATTCTCTATCTCTATCTCTACTGTTCCATTGATGAAGCTTGAGCTTCAAGCCTTCGTGTGGCAAACTTAACATAAATATCATCCTCCATTTTTATGACTCTTTAATTCGAATTTTCTAGATGATATGTTTAAAACTTTATGTTTTAAAATTAAAGGGCATTTTAATATATTATATTCCACATAGGGGTGAATTCAGATGCTGAAAATGAGGTGCGTGAATTCGCGGTCTCTGTAAAATTAGGGATCTTATGTATATTTAAATTTTGGTATAAATATTAGGCGAAATAGTTTGATGGACCTTTGTACCTGTATGAGTTTGTATTCTGGACCCTTCTACTTAATCGTTTATCAACTGAACCCTTAAACCTATTGAAACTTGATATTTTAAACCCTTTTTTTTACTTGTCATCCTATGTGGCATTCTTGTTCAAAGTGCGTGTGATACACATATTTTAAGAGCGTGAGGTCTTCAAAGAAAGATTGAAAATGTCAAGTTTTGACCTAACTAAGAGTCATCTTCTTCCCTAATTATTCATTTACCATTGTTGGACAAAAAAAAGCTTTCTTGGGACTTTTCTACTTATCTCCAAATTCTTTCTCAATTTTTTTCATTGTTTCAGGTTGCCTTCATCTTCTTCAAAGGACTCATTATTTCTTGAACAAATCTAGTCTTTATTACTCTACAAAGAATTTCCACAAGTACAAATTTATTTTATTGTTTCAAATAAATAAATGGACTTATCAATCCTATTCCTCAACATGTATTTCGTTTCCTTCAAACTTAACATCGCCGGAGCCATCAATCATATCAATTTCTGCAAATCTTCAAAACACAAAATTCTTTCTTAAATGAACAAACTATAAAAAGCTAAAAAGTTAAATTGATCCAAAATTACAAAGAGGGATATATTTCATCTAACCTTTATAAAGTTGAATCTTTGCAGAGAGGAGAGAAAGGAGACAACTAATTCAATTGCTTGACATGGAAGGGAACTTACTTGATGAATTTTAAATGTTGAATTTAATTAAGTTGTATTTTGTTTTAATGTCAATCATATTCTGCTTATTTATATTTTCAGCCCATCAATGTGTTGTGTGATTACAGCTGATGTCAAGGTATAATTATATACTTGTACTGACTGGCTATGAAATACAATATTCCCTATTTTTCCGAAGTAATTTTTTTTTTTCGCACAAAAATAACCATTTTGCTTCCTTCAACTTCTTTGCCTCATTTTCTGCAAAAATTAAATAAATGTCGATGTTGCTGCTACAACTTCAATAATAGTTTGAATATTGCAAATTTGCTGCGACAATTTCAACAATTGTTGCATTAACTCAAGCAATTGGTGAAGCTGCTGCAATAACTCAAACAACTGCTGAAGGTTTTGCATCAACTATCATAATTGTTTGATTTCCTGCGTAATCTTTAATTTTTCAATGACTTGGAAAAAAATTCAACAGATACATGTAATGGCAATAGATTTTGATCATAGATGCAGCCGAAATGCTTACAAATCACATAAAAAGTACTTGTTAGAGTGCTGAAAGTGAGGTAACAATCTCTTTGCTGATTTCAACATCTTTTACAAATTACAGCAAGGATGTAGTTATTCAGCACAAAGTTAACAAGAAATGTTTTGGAAGAATGATTTGTCAAGGAATTAGAGGACTTTACTGCAATATCTATATGACTATCCACAAGCTTTGTTTTGTATGTTAAACTTCTTATCTTAATTACTTCAGAAGTTAAATCATATCAAATATTCATAATAAACTAGGAACATTGCATCTGGAATATCTTTAGGCAGGTTGTTTATGTAAAGATAGAAACGCAACATGTCCTCATTCGAAAGAGTTGCCTGATCAACGACATCGTTACTGCCTGTCAGAACCCACAGATCCCCTGAATTCACTCTTTTGAGGTTTCCTCTGCAAAATGGGCAGGACTCTGACCTTAAGTTCCTGCAACAGAAATCACGGATTAAGAAGATCACCGGAAAATTTATCCTTTTCGCAATAAAAAGTAATAATGAGCATGAAGAATAAGAATATATATCGCTTACCAGTCACGATAGCAACTAATGCACATAGCATGACAGCAGTTTGGCAAAACTACTTTAGTGCATGGTTCTAAGCAGATCCCACATTCATTTTCTTTCTCTAGATCAGCATCAAAATGTTTCTTCTCTTGTACTTTCTTCCCAACAATCATTTTTGAAACTCGAGGTTCGTCGTGACTACTCTCCTGCTCTGATGAGCTATCATGTAGGTGCCGTAGAGATGGTAATAGAACAGCTGCAAATTGGTATATGTCAAAGAAATAAGTGTCCATAGTCCACACATATACGGTTATAGTTGGGGAAAAACTCTAGACTTAAAATATGGAGACGCACAATAAACAGAAAATATCAAAGAGTTAGCCCAAAAATGGTGTGTACCATAGAATTCTCTAATGCTTGCTTTCCTAGCATCAGAAGGAATCTTCTTCTTCCCATTGGGGATAACCTAAAGAACATCACAATTTTAATTTCAACGTATCGAATATAACAATATCATCTTAAATTAGTACTATGAGAAGAAATTAACAGCCTGAAAATAGAGAAACAAACCTTGTATACAGTTATGTGGAAGAAATTGAAATAATTTGGAAGTAAGCATGTGCATGAGCAATCCATCCACTGGAGCAAGAACAGAAGTACCGGTGCCAAGTTACTGTACACCAATTTCATTTGTAGACAAGTACCATTCTTGAACCTCGGAATTGAAGCTGCCCTGAAACGCGTAATTTAGAGGGACAAAAGGTTAATATTTGCTGTTTAAGACTACAGTCGGAACAACGATTTGCCCAGTGACACCTTTAAGTAATTGGCTACACAAATCACAAGCAAATCCCCAGTGATTTAAACATGGAAAGTTTGGAGGAACCATAGAAAGGAAATTGAAGATTGCAGATATAAAAGACTTTCAAACTCACATACAGCTTACAAAAGTATTATTCTGCGACCTTTAAAATAACAGAAGAAAACAAGTTCAAGATCAAATAGTTTCCTTTTTTTTTCTATAATCGTGGTGTCCAGACTAACTTGCGTGCAACTCCACCAATTTCAAGGCTACCTCGCACCAATGCTACCTCCTATCAACATAGGTACCAGATAACCGTGTCCATTAGGACTTGGGCAAATGGAAAGTAATCAATTAATGTTTGCCTTTCCTATGATTTAAATTTGAGACCTCATGATTCTCAACGCACCTTATTGGTCACAATAATTTCCTGTTACTCAACAGCCTTTACCTACATTCACATGCTGTAAATGCAAAAGATATAGCATTTAGCAAGCTCTAATCCCTCTCTATGGCAACCTCTTTCCTTTTTCATGAAAAACAAACTGGGACAAAGGGTAAAAATACAATTTAATAAAACAAAATAGTAGTAGTAATTACAGAGGCGAGAAAAAAAAGTACTAGTAAACATATGTTTTATCTTTGTAACTAACGTAAAAAAAAAAAAAAAAACTTGTCCCAAACCAATTTAAAATTAAAAAAGAAGCTAGCGTTTGGTGATAGATTATGGAAATTATCACCAAATATCTGTCTAATCATAGATTTTGAATCGCACTTGAGTTCTAAAAACTAATCCAGACCCATTTTCGTGAGAAATTTCACTTCTAATTGCAAAAGTAAAAAAAAATATCCAAGTAAAATGCATGTCCAAACACAATTTCAAAAACTAAAATTTTCAATTTTCAAATTTCAAATTTCAACTTCAAAATCTATAGTGTAATAGGAGCCAATGGCATGGCTTTATTTGGGAAGTTCATTCCCCAATCAGAAACTTAATTCATCAAACCGGAAGAAAATCAAAGAGTGGAAGATACAGGATGCAAGTAAGAGATGAGAACCTACAGCAAATTGGCATACTGAATGTCAGCCTCAATTGCCTTTAAAGAATCTTCACATGAAGTAGATTTCACAACCTCATAGTAATTCGTCATCAATAATCCCAAAACTGCAATTCCCAAATGTACAACACTTTTTCTTGCTAAACACTCAATTTGGGTATATGTAATATAGGAGTAAAATGTTGAACACTTACAAAGAAGAAGAAGTCAATGGAGTCTAGAAAGATTATTTATACAGAGTCCTAAAATCTCATTATAAATAAAGGAACAACACAGAGGGAGAATAATGAAGAGAGAGAGATTTGGTCTTTTTTATGGTTGGTTGCTTGCAGTTACAAGTTTTGATTTTATTTCTGGCAAAATTTTGACTGTTGAACAACTATGACAAAAAAGAAGTAATGGAAGTTCCAAAGCAAATTTGACTTTATTTTCTACAAATGGGAACTCAATTTTCAATTTATTACTCCTTGAAGTTTTACTGCTCTCTCCGTTCAATATTAGTTGAATTATTTAATTAAAAATAATTGTTCTATATTAACTGTCTATCTTATTAACTTAAAAAATGTATATATATCAACTACTTTATTTGTCCAACAATACTTGTCCGACTCTGCATATTTCTTAAGAAATTATAAAATAGAAACGTAATTTTACTATATCACTCTTTGAATATAATAATTAATGATAAGGTTAAATTATGAACTAAGTTTAAAATTATTCATTGATTTCATAAAATAGATAAATATTACTCCTATTAAAAATTCTGAAATAGTATAGTTGACAACTACTATTGGACGAAATGAGTAATATGAGATGGGGAAAGTATACTAAAAATGAAAAAAAAAACATCACATTTGTCATTCTATTCATAGAAATAGTTATATTTATCTCTTATTATATTAAATTTTAGATATATATTTACTTTTGAATGGTCAATTCATATGTTTCCACTTTTATTCTAATTCGTGACCCTTACGTGATATATTTATATTCTAATTAAAATTAACTTTTAATATGATTTTTCTACCTAATCCAATATGTACATCCGAATTAACCAATCCAATAAACTCATTTCTAATGCTTGATGTGAGTTGGCTTGTTGGGTTAGTTGGGTCGAATATAGATATGTTGATGTCATATAGAAGAATTATATTAAGAAAATATATTTTAATTGAAAAACATATATTTATTTAGATGTCATATAGAATAATAAGAATGAGAGTAAAAAGTAACTTTAACTTTGCCCAAGTACAATAGAAAGTCATTAGAAGGAAACATAATAAACATATTATATGACAGTACTTGGCAAAGTTGAATGACCTTTCAATTATATAAAAATTGTTCATAACTTGTGATTTTAAAAAAAGTTAAATGATCGTTTACTTTTTTTAAAAATGTGTGTTTTTGTGAATATTTAAAAAAGTAGAGTAATTTTTATGATAAAATAAAAAAATTCTAATCATTTATAAATATAAAATCAATCATAGTTTCCTTGTGTAATCGAATGCTATGTTAAGCAACTTGTGATATTAAAATTCGAACATTAAATTTGTAAAAGTTAATGATTAAAAATATATTAGACTATCATGTTTTCGTTAGTTTTACATCTCAATCATTGATTATTTCATTTCCTCATGAATTATCACTTCTTTATATCAAAATATATCTATACATTAAAATACATATTAACTATTAATTATTTCCTTTTTTTTATTTGAACTATCACCGTCATGTACCTAATTATGAATTTCTCCCTACAAAATATCCTTTTTTTTTTCTCTTTGTACCTGATAGCTATTTCTTCTTAAAAAACAAAAAATCGTAACTCGAACTTATTTGAACATTTAATTAATATCTTCTGAAGAAAAAAAAAAAAGTAGTAGTATTTCCTTTTATACAAAGTTTGGTACCTACATGAAAGTTGTTCAACTATTTAACGATCTACTAATTATTTATGCTTTTTAATTGAAAAATTGAAAAGAAATTAAAAAGTCTGCCAATTCATTATGATAATTTTCAACGGTTGAGAAAAAGCTGTTAAATTATTTAAGAGCTATTAATTGGAAGCCGACATTCAATTCAATGACTTTATTATTTTTAATAACCGTACATAAAATACGGATAAAGAAATGTGAATTTCGAATCCCTCGTTAACACGAACATACAAGTACAGAACATTAGATTTACAATTACTCACTTCGGCAATATTTATTTATTCATGTTTAACTTGACACGTCTTCTAAAATAGAATAAATAAAATAATATTTTTAGTATATCATTCATAATTATTATTAATTAAATGTTAGGAAATGAATATCTTTAATAATAAAGATAAAACAAGTATTAAATAATAAATTATCTCTTAATTTTTCAAACTGAATATTTATTTTTAATTTAATGACAAATAAAAGTGGATAGATGAAAGTGTATTTATTATCATTTACACATAATCATATAGAGTAATAGAAAATTACGACTTTGATTTTGCAAGATATATCTCAATTATATCATTTACTAACACCATAAAAAGAAAGTAAAAAACATTTTCTTATTAATCAAAATACAACAAAAATAAAATATTTCATTCAAGATATGATAGTCAATGTTCCAATTACATCTAAGAAATTATATATATATATATATATATATATATATATATATATATATATATGGATAAGCAAATATATATTATTTAATTAGCAAACATAATTATAGTTTGAATTAGTTACCGCTCGCAAATTAATTTTAGTTGTAATCATGTGTGTGTCTCTCCTCTCTTCCTCTCTCCCGTCTCTCTCCTTGCTTATAAATATACAAATTATACATATACAATTATATGACAGATATACAAATGCGATCGTTTCTCTCCACTGCTTGCCTTCTCTCGCTCGCCTCTCTCCTTCCTCTCCCAGTCTCGCTCGCCAGTTATATATATAGACTTTAAACAAAATTTAAAATATCATACCAAATATTATTATATCGAACATATATATAGGATTAAAAAATTTAATCTCAATATAATAATTCATATACGTAGGACAAGTGGTACAATTAATGGATGGAAAAAACAAGTGAACCACCAACGCCTACTAGAATAGTAATCTCTACAAATTCAACCAAAGAGAAATGAAGGATGCGTATGTATAACTCTAATTATATTTCTTCCTTGACAAATATAAAGTTTGAATTCACTTCAATAATTGGAGAATGTGGACTTCTACTCTATTTTTAATTATTTTATTGTATTATAGGGGAAGCATTTGACTGATTGACTTAGTAGATTCACCAACCCAAACTGCCTCATTAAACTATCTCTGCAATTTTTAGTGATTGAAATTTTGTTTGAATACGTCGTTTGAATTTTTTAAAATTATGATTAATTTTTTTAAAAAAAGTAGTCAATTCTTTAGGAAATTATGACTAGGTGGAAAATGTTAGCATTATGCGAGGTGTTGTTGTAAAGAATTATTCAATTTGATTAATATATATATACAATTTTAGTTTTGAATTTTTATTTTGTTTTAAAGAATTTATATTCAACTTTGAAATTAATTAACTGTCTGTTTAAGGAATTTTGTCAAAATTCTATTTCAAAAAACGTTTGGGAAATAACGTATGAGGAATCTTGTCAAGGAATTTTGCCAAAATTCATTTAATTTTGATTGTTTTCACAATTTCACTTCAAATTACTTACAAAAATTTAAAAACAATTTTAGTTTGTATGTTCATCCATTACTCTATTTTTTAAATAGCATTTTAAACTTGAATATTCATTACTTCATTCGTTTCAAATACGCGATATTTTTTTTTTTCATTTTGTTTCCATAATTCACATATGGACTAGAGTAAGTGGTGTTTGGATTGACTTAGAACCCGTTTGGATTAGCTTAAAAAAAGTAGTTTGTAAGTCAAAAAATAAAAAGCATGGGGAGACCTAATTTTTATTTTTTACTTTTTTAAGTTATTTTTAACTTTGTCAAACACTTTCTAACTTATTTTAAGTTATTTTTTTACTTATTTTAAATTATTTTTATATTTGTCAAACACTTTCAGAATAATGCAAACACCCTCTTAATTTTAATGGATTTTAGCTTTTAAGCTATTTTTTTTAGCTTTGGAGGTGTTCGAGTAACTAAAATGTGCTTAAAATCACTTTTTTAAGGCTGAAAAATATTTTTAAAAAGGAAAAATGTTCAAATATGTCATCGAACTTTTAGTAAAGGGTCGGTCATCTATGTAATATGTTAAAAGTTTGGCTCATTTATGTCATTATCGTTAAAGAAAATGCTCATTCATGTCATTTTTTTACATCCTCAAACAACTTTTAACATTTTTCTGAGTTTTTGGATCAAATGTACTCTTCTTGTTTCTTCTTCCTTAAGAACACCAAAAAAACAAATAAAGAATATTAACAATTCTCAAATTTCAAACTTTTTCGATTCTTCACATAATCACCTCAAATTTCAAGAGTAGTTTCCCTCTGAGCTAGATACCAAAACTCAGTATCTTTTGAGCTCGAATTCAACCTAACTCAACAAGACTCACTTGAAATTTCTTCAAAGTTTCAAAATTTCAACATTCTTTAATGGTAGAATTTTCTCCAATACTTCAAATCATTTGAAAATTTGAACATAGACTCCAAAAATACTAGGGAACAAAGATCTAATGTCAAAAACAACTACAAAAACACAAATCAAAGCAAAAAAAAATGGATTGATTTTTGTTTTTTGAATTTTTTTCTAATACGGGTGAATTTTTTAAACTCTACAAATGATTTTAGAATTTTGTTTTTTAAAAAAAGAAATTACTGGTGTAGCCAAAATTTGAGATGATTTCGTGAAGAATTGAAGATGTTGAAAATCCGGGAGTTGTTTATGTTTTTCATGTGTTTTTAAGGAAGAAGAAGCAAAAAAGTGCATTTGATCCAAAAACTTCAATTGAAAAGTGTTAAACATTGTTTGGGGTATAAAAAGTTGTATCGCAAAATTGCCAAAATCTTGCATGGATGAGCCTTTTCTTTAACAACAATGGCATAGATGAGCCAAACTTTTAACGGATGACATAAATGAGTCTTTTCTTAATGTTCGATGGCATATTTGAGTCTTTTCTTAAGTGCTCCCAACTTGTGACTTTTTAGCTTTTGGCTTAAAAATCACTTTTAAAAAAAAACTCATACAAACAACCCCCAAGTATTTTTTAGG